AGAATGGGCCGACTGATTCAAGCAGATAGAAGAGCAACTTTGACTGAAATAACCACTCGTTACAACCGAGGTATGCATCAAAGCATTTGTGAAGCCACAACACGCACCTTGAGGCGCATGGGCTACAACAGCAGAAGACCCCACCGGGTACCACTCATCTCCACTACAAGAGCTCACCAAAATTGTACAGTTAAAGACTGGAAAAATGTTGCCTGGTCTGATGAGTTTTGATTTCTGTTGAGACATTCAGATGGTAGAGTCAGAATTTGGCATAAACAGGATGAGAACATGGATCCATCATGCCTTGTTACCACTGTGCAGGCTGCTGGTGGTGGTGTAATGGTGTGGGGGATGTTTTCTTGGCACATTTTAGGCCCCTTAGTGCCAATTGGTCATCGTTTAAATGCCACAGCCTACCTGAGCATTGTTTCTGATCATGTCGATCCCTTTATGGCCACCATGTCCCCATCCTCTGATGGCTACTTCCAGCAGGATAATGCACCATGTCACAAAGCTCGAATCATTTCAAATTGGTTTCTTGAACATGACAATGAGTTCACCATCCTAAAATGGCCCCCACAGTCACCAGATCTCAACCCAATAGAGCATCTTTGGGATGTGGTGGAACGGGAGCTTCGTGCCCTGGATGTGCATCCCACAAATCTCCATCAACTGCAAGATGCTATCCTATCAATATGGGCCAACATTTCTAAAGAATGCTTTCAGCACCTTGTTGAATCAATGCCACGTAGAATTAAGGCAGTTCTGAAGGCGAAAGGGGGTCAAACACAGTATGGTGTTCCTAATAATTCTTTAGGTAAGTGTGTGTATATTTATATATACATATATATTTATATATATTAACCAAATTTTAAATATATATATATATATATATTTGGTTTACAAGTACACGTACAAGTGCAAGTGTACACGTGGCAAAATAAAAATCTGCCCATTGTAGAGAATCAAGGCGAATCAAACACAACTTAATCAAATTAATCTCTCATGGGATTAATTCACAAGGCTTCAACACTCCAAGTTCTGGAGCCCACATTCCAGAGTCACAGAACGGCGCCAAGAGTTTGTTTTGGGGGACAATAAAACCCCCTCCGAAGACTTTTATGGTCCTGCAGATAGCAACAGAATGCCACAGGAAGAAACGTGTCAATATGTTAATGTTTTTACTGAGACAGGTCAGCTCCAAAATGGTGGAACGAGAGGCATCACAACCAAGCCCCTTTGATCTCCTGACAGAGATGTTCCACAGAACACATCTCCTCGTCCCCCTTACGAGTTGAACTCTCAGTAACCTTACGGTTGAGATCGAAGATCTCACACATAAAATAATATGAACTCACCACAGAACAATTCTTGGACCTATAACCAATCATAATTCTTGTTGTTCCTACACTTCATGTGTTATTATGCTTAGATCACATAATAATCATGTAATTGTTGTTAACTATAAACTCTTGTAATTGTTATACAACCATTAGAAGTGTGAATGCCTCGTTTGCTCTTAAACGAACCGTATTCTCGTAATTCAAAAGATGGCTTGATTGAAATCTGCGTAAAAGGTTTTGTTTTATGATTATAATTATCATAAGGTTAAAACGATGGTCTTTTGTCTCTGCTAAGTGCTGGAGACCAGCTCACAGACCATGCATAAATTATGATAAAGAACGAAGTAGATCCACCTCCTGAGATCATGCCATTACCCATTGGCCTAAAGTTTCTTGGAGGTTGGACTAGAGTTTAAGTTAAAGATCCGAACAAAGGACCTCATGTCCAGATTTTTGTAGATTTTAGAAGATTTCAGATGATTTTGGTTTAGATTTTTGTTCAGTTCGTTCAGTTCTGTAACTGTTAAGTCCGTGCCTCTCTCTAAAACCAGCAAGAGAGTGTTCTGTTCGTGCTTATCTCTGAAACAAAGAACGTTTTCGCATGCTTCTACATCGACTAGACCAAATTCGACCCGCAGACGAATAACCCATCAAGATCAGGGTTACAATTCAGCTCAGTCAAGCCATCCGACTCGTCTTACTTTCATTTCTTTCCTTTGTTTCCTTTTTCGTAAAAGTTTCGTTTCAAAGTTAACTTTGCAACGCGCTTCGAACTGGAAAAGACTCTCATTCGCTTGCTAATCACACGTGACCAGCGGCGAAACTTCCATCCCTGCACTTCAAAGACAACAAACCACGCGACGGACCCGGCCGGGAAACCCCCCTTCGACGCGACGCAGACAAAGGGAATTCCCTCAGCCACTACAAAGCGCAAGTACTCCAGGCTCTAACTGAACTGGTGCTTTAATGTTAATTGAATAACCTCTCTAAGAAATGAAGGTTCAAATTAATGCTTGGTGGTCCTTTCAGGTGATGTCTTACGTGCATATAGAAAGTTGAAACTTTCTCTCACTCTTTCCAACTCACTCTTTCCCTTTCGCGACTGTATGAATGTGTGTGTGTGTGTGTGTGCGTGATTATGTTTAGACCTTAGAGTTGTGTTTAGAATAGCTAATAAAGTCTCCCATATATCTGAAAAGATAAATCTTCTTGTGTCGTGTTTGCACATTTAATGTCTTGTACTGTTCGATTGAAGTTACCTTGCTAAGACATAGTGTTTCACTATAGATTTGGTTATAATTACGGCCCGTTCAAATGAACTCTAAGCGAGTCATTTGCTCAGTTCAGTGATTCGGTTCCATAGATTCATTGCAAATCAATGAATCATTTCCCTTTGAGCTAAATTGGCCTTCGGCCCCCTTTAATACATTTTATGTATATTATTATATGTTGCATTTGCTACACCATCTTGGCATACATAATTTATCTGTCATTTCAAACCTTTTATTGCTCACACACAAGAATGAGTTCAGCAATGATTGAGGTAAAAAATTGAAATAAAGAAGTGACCAACTCTCTTTATATTGGCTTGACTGAAACCAGACATGGCACCATTAGCTGCTGGTGGATAAATTGAAGTTGTGCTGACCAGGTAAAACCACTTAAGAACAGGAGCTGGTGCACTTACTAAAGGCCTATCATTTACTAGTAACTGCTGACACCCTCTGGGTTATTAATAGATCTTGCCGAAATGAAAGTAAACACAACCTTAGCTTGGAGGAACTGTCTGTCTTCTTTAATGTGCCAAGTAATAATGGCTGTACTTAGTTTCCTCACAAAGATAAATTGGCGCAGCCTGAGAGCGCTTGGAAACTCTACCATTCTGGCTAAATGAAAAACTCATCCCAGGGGAAGAAATAGTTTAAAACATCTTAGGGAAGCACTGTTCAGTTGTGTTAGTCAGCAGAACCGCACCATAACAAATGAGCTGTTTAGATAAATCAATTAGGTAAAGAATAGCAGTGCATCTCCATTTCCGCAAGTTGCTAAGCTATTCTATCTCACTTGTGGCCTTGTATAATGTTGTGCAAGTCTTGTGGCTGTATATTACAAATAGTGCTATTTGAAGGTTTATTCCAGTGTCTTGCCTTACATTGTAAGTGCATTACCGTAAACATGATTTTGGGTTGCATTTACTAATGCATGAAAGACAATTCAAAATTATTTTCCATAGCACAAATGAGCTTATATTTATATTTAGCTTGTTCCAACTTTGCAAAAATGATCTTCTTAAAGGGATAATACATAAAAAGAAGTAAAAAAAATGCACATTTACTTTCAGAAAACAAACAAATATATTTAAAGAAAGCTACAATGTACAGTAAAAAGATAGTCATTTGTGTTGTTCCTCACTCCATTGACTTCCATTGTATGGACAAAAACAGTCCTATAAAATATCATAGTTGTGTTTCATTGCAGATTTGTAATGACATGAGGTCGAGTAAATGATGACAGAATTTACTTTTTTTTTGGGTGGATTCATTTTCAAGTTCAGAATCTTTGAAAATATGCTTTTTGCATTATAACAAAATAAACAATGTTCTGTGATAAAACTCTTGATGGTTCAGGCTGATTCACACCTCTACAGACTGGGTTATGGCTATAAATATGATTTTTTTTTTGTCTGCATTGTCTGTGGCACACTTTCAGAAGCCCTCCACCTTCCCCAGCTCCACCTGTATATAAAATTAGACAAAAAAGATGATATATTTTCCATGGAACGCAAAAGAAGACATTTTGAAGACAACTCTTTTCCAGACCAAAGTTGACTATAAATGTTCTATTTCTATAATGACTGCTGAACTGTATTGCCACATTAACATTCTGAATTTTCATCTTTTGTGTTCCACTGAAAAAAGAACATTCGGTGAACTATCCCTTTAGGGTTCTCAGCAGAGAAGTCATCATTAAGGGTTGTTACGGTATATTCAGCTGAACAATGTCTCAGAAACTCTATGAATGGTAATGTAATAGTGCACAGAGCAGAGAAAGGTAGATGGCTGGGAATTAATGCCTGCACTTTGAAAGCAGGTCTGCTCTCTTTGATGAAACCGGTGTTCTTTACAAAGCGCCTGGGAAATGGATTTTTCCACAGGTGCCAATAGCTTCTCTAAATGGCCACGTGCTCTAATATGTCTTGATGATTGACCACTTTCCTGAGCCCTGCAGGGGAGAGTTTCACAGGCTCAAGCTGCGGGGAATAAAAGCGTCAGGACTGTGAGATGGAGGTACTGAGGCCGTGGAGGTGCTTTTATTTAAGGCATGGGAGCATGTGTGCATTTAAAGTGTGATGGGACTTTATTTACTTCAAACTCATCTCTGATCTAGGGATTTCATTTCACACAAACTATTCCTTTCTTACCTGTAAAGCTCGTTTCTGTTCAGCTCCTATGTTGTTAGTCCTGGTCTTCCTCACTAACTTTATGTTCCACACACTGGCGCTTCATTTCCCTTTTTGAAAGAGATATTACCTTTTGGGGACATATAATGTGGATCTCTTCAATGGATGTTCTATCAACTATTTCTGTTGGAACAAAGACATTTACCCATGGGTAAATGGGTCATTTGAGTACTGACATCATGATTTTATGTTGGCAGGATTCAGTCGGGGTCGTACCTGAGCACCGGCTGGTTCACGCTCATTCTGGCCATGGACATGTGCAAGGAGATCCGAGTCTACGGCATGATCAATGACACATACTGCAAGTAAGACTGACATGCAATCTATCACTTGACGGTGGTCTTTAAAGCAGTTTCGCCTGTTTTCAGAGTGTAATAGGACAGCAGAGCTGATACAAGAGCAGTTCTGTGAGTTTCCGACAAACCCCCTGTCATAATACAAACATAAAACAATTTTAAAGGATTATCATTATCTTTATATATTCAATAGATTAACTTAGAAGTTTTGTGCACAATAAAACAATCAAATATTTGCAAAAAAATGATTATTTTTAACTCACATTCTGACCCTGAAATGTTTCAAGTGGGTGGCTCCTTTAAAAGAGTTAGTTCACCCAAAAATAAAAAATTCAATAATTACTCATCCTAGTGTTGTTCCCGACACGTAAGACTTTCGTTCATCTTCGGAACACAAATGAAGATCTTTTTAATGAAATCTAGAGCTTTCTATCCCTCCAATGACTCCATACGTGACTACCTTTTTCAAACCCCTGAAAGATTGTAAAGACATTATTAAAGTATAAACGAAGAGTTCAGATGCAAAAGCCTCTAAGTGCCATTTGAAATTTTCTTCTAGAATGATCATTTTTATCAAGCTCGTATATTTAAGTTCAGTGATTTCACTTAAATGGCAATTATAATTACCTATTAATTGTTATTTAAGTGAAATTACTGAACTTAACCCTTAAAGACCTAGACCATTTTTGGAGCACCTGCACCGCTTGTTCTTTTCTTTGTTTTTCTAACCCATTATAGCAGTCAGCATCAAGTGCCATATATCATTTTTATCAGGAGAACTTGAAGTTTCAATCTATCTCATTTAAATAATCCAATTTTACATTTAATTTGTCTTAGAATGGATGAATTTACCAGATTTAAGAAAAACGGCAGCATATTTGTAGTGATTTTTTTTTACTCAACTCAAACAAATCCTCCTGAAGTTTGGATTTTTTCCTTTAGAAAGCTGTCCTTGGATATTTTACATTTCCAGATGTAATTTTGACTACATGTAACAATCCCTAAGCAAGTTATAGGCATTTATTACAACATTATTATAGGCGATTTTCAGTGAAAAGCATTGTTTCAGTGAAAACAGTGTTTTTCATACTGACAATTTAGATGTGTCCAAAAAAGTTAAGGAAGTAACATAAAGAGAAACATTGTAGTAGAACAATGAAGCAAAAAAAAACCCAACTTATATATATAAATAAAACTTATATATATATATATATAAACACACACACACACACACACATACATACATAGATATGAACTACTTTGACTTTACCTCTGTTCAAATTTCTAAAGAAAGATGCTAATTGGTCGTGCAAAAGACCAAGAACTATATTTATTGGTTGAGTAGATGATAGTTTTAACCAACCTGGGGATGGGGTGGGACTAAGCATTAACAGTCATTTATGATTGGCTCAGAGGAAAAAAACGCACGGGTTTCTTTGACGAATCAATGCTGATCAAAACTTGATGACGCAATCACATTCACTACGGAGCTTCTGAATGTCCAAACGCGATTAACCCGATATCACAGAAAAGCCGCGAATCTCCTCTTTATGGGACTTTTTAAAGCATACGGATTGGAGCAGCGGTTCAAAAGTTATTTAACATTTAAGAACAACAGTTATTTTTAGCCGCCGGCGGCTGTATAGGTCTTTAAGGGTTAAATATACAAGTTTTATAAAAATCATCATTAAAGAAGAAAATTTCAAATGGCATTTAGAGGCTTTTGCATCTGAACTCTTCAAACATCATTTTTATGAAGGTTTGTTGGTATGGGTAGCTTTAATGGTGGGGTTAAGGGGTAAGAGAAGGTCAAAAATGTAATTATGGATGTATGAATTACAGCTGTAGGTATTTTTTTAACTATAAGTACAATGTAAAAATGTATGGACACAATAAGTGCAATGTATCAAAGGATGCATTTAATTTTTACTGTATAGTAGTTAAAGACACTTAATATAAAACAAGCCATTTTGGGACCTTGTAAAGGCTTTTTGTACTGTGGAGGACATTTTAACTATGAAACTTGCGGGATATTGTAATGGTTCAGTTCAAAGACCTATTATATGTAAAACATTCAATTTCTCATGTCATGACCCCCTTTAGGACCATTGTAACGTTGCAATATGTTGAACCCCAAAACAAAGTCTGAACACATTATTTACTGCACTCATTTTTGGTGTCAAAATATTTCTTCTGTTGTTCCTTCCGTTGTTATCTGACACATTTCCTTGCATGTCTCCCGAGTCCTGACATTGTTTTTCAATAGATCTTAAAAAGCGGCATACAAGCCCTTTTATCATGAATCTCTCAGTATGATTCCATTTTGATGATAGTGTCCTTAACAACCTCACAACCCCCCTACTGCAGATACACATAAGCAAAGCACACAATAATGGGATTAGAGTGTTTGTAAAGTAGCTATTATAGTCTGTTTTCCCGACCATTTATTCATTCCGCTCTCCCTTTCAAAACAATGAGCAATTTTAATTCCACAGCAACTCCCAGTCACCTGTAAAGACTGGCAAATGAGAAAACAGTGGCTACAACAAAGTAATTTTCATGAAAGGCAGTTCAGCTGGGAAGTATCTATTTTAGCATAATGTGCTGAGCTGTTGTTGCAATTGACCTTGCTGGATCTCTTGTAATTAAAATTCAACAGGTGCTACTGGGAGAGAAAAATTGAATCTATTTGAGAGCCAAAAAGCGGTTTGATGTCTTTCAGTCTTTGAATTAAAAAGAAGCAATGAGTTAAAGCTTCCGCAAAATCAAAACTGCTACAGTGCGTGCTTCTTAGACTTTATTGTGCTTGATTCATCAGTGCATTCCAGGAAAAATGTCCTTGTTTTTCTTTTTTTCATATATTTTTTTTTTCTTAATGTTTTTTTTTTCAGTTTCACTCAAGAGATATGTGTAGCTGAAATAAAATACGGTTACACTTTTTTTCCCCCGATAGGTCCAGTTTAAACATTCTACTAAATAACTTGTCAACTACATGTCAACTAACTTTCATTAGAGTATTAGTAGGCTGTTAGGTCAGGGTTGGGGTTAGTAGAATACACTGACTTGTAGTTGCTGTAACGTGAGGTGGCTGTAGAGACACAACAGACAGAATAAGAACATTTGTTTCATACTATACATATTTTTCATACATATTGTTCGGTTAGCTCTGCTGGTTGAAATGGAAGCTTGTTTAGATCATTGCGTGATCTAAAGTCAGAATTGCGTGATATAAAGTCAGAATTGTGAGATATAAAGTCAGCATTGCGTGATCTAAAGTCAGAATTGCGAGATATAAAGTCAGAATTGGGTGACATAAAGTCGCAATTCTGAGAAAAAAAGAGAGAAGTGCGACTTTATCTCACAATTCTGACTTTTTTTCTCACAATTGCGAGTTTACATCTCGCAATTCTGACTTTATAACACATGATTGCGAGTTTATATGTCGAAATTCTGACATCTTTTCTCAGAATTGTGAGATATAAACTCACAATTGCGACTTATCAGGCCAATTCTAAGGGGGAAAAAAGACCCCCCTCAGAATAGTTTAAGGGCCAATCCCAATTCTACCCCTTACCCCTTCCCTTTCCCCTAGCCCTACCCCTTCGCCTTCCCCTTGACCCTAGAAACAGAGTGGCAATGCGTAGGGGTGAAAATATTCCCCTAAGAAATGGGACACCACTACGCCTCCCTTAAACGTCATTATAAGTCGTCGCTAGCGCCTACGTCACAGGAGATGCGCCGATGTTTATCACAACTTCCAAGATCCCGTCGACAGCTGCAGTTATCTCAGTCGCGTGGGTTACAGCTATTTTCTTGCATCTTGTGAAGTTCGCAGGAAACAACGGAGACGACGAAAATATGTTGCGGGACTATCGTTAGCAAACTACAGTAATTTTAGCGATTTTTTTACAAACGTTTCTGTGAAGAAACTGACCGTAAATATGAACACAATATTGAATGTAACATAAAGCAAATCATTATTTGTCGTTATAATACTTATTAAAGCCACAAATACTTAAATTTATGGGTCTCCTTTGTCGCTTGGGCAGCCAGTCTGGGTTAGCAGTGACACTTCTCATACCCCTTCGTTTGAAGTGTGCTCCCGAAAAATCTTCGTTTGAAGGGCTATCTGGCCCTTCACCCTAGCCCTCCCCCTCCAACCAAAAGAGAATTGGGACAGCCCTACCCCTTCACGTGGACGCGCAAAACGGAGGGGAAGGGGGAAGTGAAGGGGTAAGGGGTAGAATTGGGATTGGCCCTAAATCTCGCAATTCTGACTTTATATCATGCATTTATGACTTTATAACACGGAATTGCGACTTTATATCTAGCAATTCTGACTTTTTATCTCGCAATTCTGTCTTTATAACTCGCAATTGTGACTATAGCTGGCAATTCTGACTTTATATCACGCAATTGCGACTATATCACGCAAATCTGACTTTATATCTTGCAATTCTGACTTTATATCTCGCAATTGCGACTTTATATCACACAATTCTGACTTTCCATCTCGCAATTCTGACTTTCCATCTTGCAATTCTGAAAATGAAGTCAGAATTGCGGGAAGTAAACTCGCAATTGTGAGAAAAAAAGTCAGAATTGTGAGATAAAAAGTCGCAATTACCTTTCATATTTTTCATTCTATGGCGGAAACAAGCTTCCATAGGTTGATGTCGTTGTACAGAAAGAAATTTGTGACAGTTGGTCAGTTTGGTTTAGTCCCGCCCCTCCTCCACTGTGATTGGACGGATGGGTAAAAAGTGACAGTGATGAGCGGAGTGTTTTATCCAAAGTTGAATATTTTTCAACTCTCAGCGACCAGTAAAAAACGCTAGGTGCTCGGCGCTTCAGCGTGAAAAAAAAAAACGCTCAGCGCCTTGTTACGCTCATGGCAACGCAGTCTCATCCCAAAAAGTCATATAACTGACGTTTTGGGACGTCTTTTGACCATAAGTCAATATTCGCCTTTTTAGGGCCCCCTTAAACGTCGGTAGATGAGGTTATGGGATCCTAACTCTACCCCAGACCTAACCCTAAACCTAACCCGTCACCTAACTGACGTTAAAGGTAAAGCGTCAGTTGTATGACGGCCCGGGATCGCCATCTACCGACTTTTAAGGGGGCCCTAAAAAGGCGGATATTGACGTATGGTCAAAATACGTCTCAAGACATCAGTTATATGACTTTTTGGGATGAGAATGTGTTGCTCATGGCGTTTAAAAAACGTGGCGCTCCCATTGAAAATAATTGAAAAAATTAGCCAGGCGCATGGAAAAACGCTTTGGTGGACACACGGCCTACATTATAACAAGGAAAAATATTAACACATGAGGGAAATCATTGTGGTTCACATGAAGATGAAAAAACCCAATTACCAATTTTTTAAGGCTAATTGTAGTGAAGGATCAGACCTGTTTGCCCAATAGCGGCAAGATACATAATGTTTAACCAACGATGATTTGGGTGGGTTTCTCCCATCCCCATACAACGTCACTTCTCTCTTTCACTGCCCTGACAAGAACGTCGGTCTCCTCGGCTGTGAATTGCTCCTTGCACGCACCTCGTAAACCCCGCCGTTATAATAACAATCTGTCATGCAACATGCGCACCTGCTCTTAAAGGGTATGTTGGATGACGCTCTGATTGGTTTGTTTCACGTTACGCCCAAACCACACCTATGAATAATGAAGCTACTTCAGACCAACCCCTTTTAAACTTGTGCCCAGCGCAAGAGTCGTTTATCCCGCCGGTAAAATAGCAACAGTGCCCAGGACCCGCCCACAAAGTTACTTGATACTTGCGTTTCAGATCATTAAAATAGTACCCAAAGTGTGAAAGGCCCTTACAATGGCAAAGATACTTATAGTCAGTAGAACATCAAAAGTGGACCATCGAAATAAAAAGTAACTTACAATAGTTGCTATCGCCTTTTAACCCTCAGGTGCTCTTCGGTCATTTCTGACCGAAAAATTTTCTGTTTTGAAATTTTAAAAATCACAGCTTTATCGGAATGTTACGAAACTTGGTGACTTTTATGGCATTGGGTATGTGAACACAAAAACAAATTGAGGTCATGATCCGAGCAGGCTAAGTGGTCGTAAAAAAAATAGTCACACTTGTGCTCTTCGGTCAAAAATGACCGACCATAGGAAATGAATGGGAAATTGACAAAAACCCAAAAACTTTGAGAATTTTTGTGTGTACAATCTACAAATCGGCCACGATGCAGAAAAAAAGTGCTCAGCATTGAAGGGGTGACACTCTAAAACATCAAGACTGCAAAACAGACATACCCACCCCTACGCACACACATACACACACACTTTTATATACAAAAACACCAATAAATTGTGATTAAAGAAATCTGTATTGAATATTTAAAAATCACAGCTTCTTCAGAAAATTACGAAACTTGGTGACTTTTATGGCATTGGGTATGTGAACCCACAAAAAAAATTGAGGTCATGATTCGAGCAATTTAAGTGGTCGTAAAAAAATTAGTCACACTTTTGCTCTTCTGTCAAAAATGACAACCCATAGGAAATGAATGGGAAATTGACACACAAAAAATTCTCTGAATTTTTGTATGTACAATCTACAAATCGGCCACAATTCTAAAAAAAAGTACACCGCAAGAAAGGGGTGACACTCTACAACATCTAGAGTGCAAAACAGACACACCCACCAACACACACACACACATACAAACACACTTTTATACACATACACGCCAATAAATTTTGATTACAAAAAGTATGTTTTGAATTTTTAAAAATCACAGCTTCATCGCGATGTTACGAAACTTGGTGACTTTTATGGCATTATGTATGTGAACACACAAAAAAATATAGAAAATAATATATATTTTTTCATGGCAAAAATAAACCATAATATTGCATAAATATTGATAAATTCATTTAAATTGTCTCAACATACTAAATTAAAAAGAATAAATATTATAGAACAAAAATAAATTGCATTGGTTTTACTGGGATGGAGAAAGTTTCATTTTTAGGTGTCCGGTCACTTTTGACCGGGAAGATAACAAGTGTGACTCCGAAACAAAGAGCACCTGAGGGTTAAAATATAGGATAGTGAAAATGGCACTTTTATTGTCATGAAGTTACAAAATAACACTTTCTTCCATTTGTTTTTTTTTACTTTAGATCAGAAGGCTACCGGAAGGTCCCGTACCACTACTATGAAGCAGGAAGTCGTGACGAATGTGCCGAATACCTCTTGCACGAGAGCGCTCCTTACGGCGGGCACCGTTTCATCACAGAGAAGGCTGTTTTTGCCAAGTGGGCAAAGACGCACCCTATTAAGTTTTTCAGTCCGGAATGGCAGCTGTCATGACCAAGAGTCCCATTCCGTCAGAATATTCCTTAACATTACGGCCTTGTTGGCTCTTTCCCCTCTCCATCTTAAAGTAACACACATGAAACGTGTCATGCAGTGGCTAAACGAAACATTCGAATGCAATTTCAAATGGTTGCTGTCCAAGAAAGTGTCCCATGATCGTGACCATGAGGAGAGGTCTCTAATGAAACTGGTGTGATCGAATAGTGGATTTAGCATGCTCTCATGTTGTTCACAATCAAGTAGTATATATTTCTTTCAGAGTACATACACTAATTGTAGAAAGGATGGGCTCAGTAGAAAACTAAGTCCTTATTTTATCTCTAATCACCTCACATTAGGGCTGGCCGATATACCAAATTCTATATAAAAATTAGAAAATAATTTTTCAGTGTTTTGATGATATTCACTAATCATTTCTTTACATATATGTGCTCTGAAAATGGCATGTTCTGAGTTTAAAAATTCCACGGTAGTGGAATAAAAAACAGGACTTTTAAATTGAAAATGTAACAAAAAATCAATTTTTGTTAAATTGTTTTTAGAATATAGTGTCACGTGCGAAACGCTGCAAAAGACGTAAGAACAATGCCCAAACATGCCCTGGAAACGTGTATGAACAGCCCTTTTAAAGGGAGAATTTATTTTATTATTATTATCAAACTATTTCAACAATTGTAGCCGATTAGACTCAAAATAACAGTAAAAATCTGTGTATAACATTTTTTACTAAAACTTTTTTTTAGACAGCCATTGCTGCAATTAGATTCAGATTATTAAAGCAAGTAAATAGCCTACAGTAAAAATCAATACAGTAAAAATCTGTGCAAAGTTTTTCACTAAATAAACCCAAATATCTAAAACGAAAACAAGTAGCAAACAAACTGCAGAATCAGAATTCGAATTACGTTTTTGCCACTAAAGTCTAAATCAAATATGATATTAAAACATTTCAGTATAAACACTTTCATACTAGAGTATGACACAACGCAATGGCTAAATTAAAAGCCCATTAAATTATGCATATATTGTGAAAATTTGATACATCTCCCAGCCCTAGTTTATTTTCGTCTCATAGACAAGTACTGGACTGAAACCAATCTCTTTTTTAATGGCCGTCAAACATTTTTCGTCTGTACAAAACCCATAAAAACCATTAGCCTCAAATCCTAAAAATTCCCAAAGTGACTCGCATAACTTCCTTTAAACCGCTTAATAGGTCATTCAGAACTTATTATCTCCTGTTTTTACTTGTGCAAATGAATACCTGAGTAGAATGCAGGTGATTGTTGATCTGAGATTGTTGATTTTCTGTCGTTATGTGCCATGACAAGAAAGCAGCCGTTGCTTACGATACTGTATTGTAGGACTACTGTCGACAAAAGACGCAAGGAACGATTCGGAGCGAGTGAATGTGGATGTCAAGACTGTGCCTGTATGAAGTGTAGCATTTCGCAACCTATCCTTCATTTTTATGCCTTATTTGCTTATTTTTAAAAAATGACACTCCTGTCCACCCCGTCAGAATCCTGTATTCCCGAGAGATGAAGGTACGCTGTCCCTGTTGTCAGATCAGCAGGTTAATTTGATCAGCTACTGTAGCTAAATGTCGTAGCATCATATAAACCAGCAGACAATGCAGCGCCCTTGGGGATCACCTACTGCTTCGAGACTCCCTCGGAGCTCGTCGTTGTGTGTTTTCCCTTTCAAACACAGCATGCGCCCTTTTCTTTGCACGTATCAAGAACGTTCATCGTCGCCGGTACTGTGTATGTAACAAGTTTTCGTATCAGCTTGTGATTCTGACATCTTCTGGCAGCTCAGCCCGGACAGCCTTTCTTCTTATGCACCGACCTGTGCATGTTTGACCAGCACTGCAACATCGCCTAAGCACCACCACAGTTTTTCCCTGGAGAGAAATATGTTCTGGGTGCACTAGAGAGAATATGAGACTGATACACTGAACGGAAAGGAGGTGTCACTGCTGGAACACATTGATGTGAAACTACTCACGCCTCTGGCCAACCTGTTCATTAAAACAATTGATGCCAGCTCAATTTCTCAGAGTGCTGACCTGGGATCATCATCTTTCGTCTGTATTGATTTTGTTCACCATGTGGTATATAAAAAAAGAGAGCTGGTCAACAAAAGGCACTTCCACTCGATGTATTTTTGACTTTAGCTTCTGCTGTTCATGCCTCAGTTTCACTTGATGTTCTCATGATATACACTACATGGACGGTATGGAAGTATGTGGATGCACTGCAAAAAATCATTGTTTTTCAGTATATTTTTGTCTTGTTTCCCCTTAAAACATAGACAAAATACATTTGCTGGAGGTAAATAATGAGATTTAGCTGATTTTATTTCTTAAGCTAATATTCACTACCGTTAAAAATTTGGGGGTCAATAAGATGTTTTTTTTTTGTTTGTTTTTGTTTTTGTTTTGTTTTTTGGAAAGAAATTAATAGTTTTGTTCTGCAAGTACATTTTATATATATATATATATATATATATATATATATATATATATATATATATATATATATGGTTTTTGAAAAAAGTCTTATGCTCACCAATGCTCCATTTATGTGATAAAAATACAGTAAAAATTGTAATACTGTGGACAATGATTACAATTTTAAATCACCTTTTCATTTATTAATATTTTAGTATTAATTTATTCCTGTGATGGCAAAGCAGAATTTTTTTTGATTTGCTTCTCAATTATTAATAATGATTCTTCTTATTATTCATGTTTTTGCTGCATAATATGGAATGAGGCAATCATGATACTTTTTTGATGAAAAATGAACAGCATTTATTTGAAATATAAATCTTTTTTTTAACTTTATAACATTATATATGTCTTTACTGTCACCTCTGTTCAATTGAATGAGTCTTTGCTGAATAAAAGTATTAATTGATATATTTAAATTATTATATATTAGATATTTTTAAAGATTACTTCCCACACTTTTAATAAGTCAAAGGTGACATAAGACTTTTAACCTTGTAACATTTTTTTTTTTAAAATAACCAATAAATCATGGTTTTCACCAAAATATGAAGCAGCAAATATGTTTTCAACATTGATAATAATAAATATTTCTTGAGCAGCAAATCCTCATATTAGAATGATTCAGAAGGATCATGTGACACGGAAGACTGGAGTAATGATGCTGAAAATTCAAATTTAATCACAGGAATAAATGACATTTTAAGACATTAAAATAGAAAAAATGTATTTTCAATTGTACTCCTACATAAGTCTTCTTTCAGAAACATTTACAAAAATCTTACAGACCCCAAAACGGTATTCTCAGTGGAAAACAAGACATAAATACTCATTGGGAGAATTATTTTTTGCAGCACAGATGATGAACATACCCAGAATGAGCTTGTTTCAATCAAAGTCATTGGCATTAAAGGAGTAGTTCACTTTCAAAAAACTTTTGCTGATAATTTACTCACCCCCACATCATCCAAGATGTCCATGTCTTTCTTTCTTCAGTCGAAAAGAAATTAAGTTTTTGGATGAAAACATTCCAGCATTTTTCTACAAATATGGACATCATTGGGAACCAAACGGTCCAAATGAGAGTTTCAGTGCAGCTTCAAATGGCTTTAAACGACACCAGACGATGAATAATGAAACGATTGCTCATTTAAAAAAAAAAAAAAGTTTTATAAGCTCAAATGCTCGCCTTGCTCTGTTCTGTGATGCGCGTTCGTGACTCTCCTGTTTGAACTCGTTTATCAAAATGAACAAATCTAACCAAATGACTCGGAAAAGATAAAAAAAAAGACATCACAGTACAGAGCAAGGTCACCATTTGAGCTTATAAAACTTAAACTTTGTTTTTTTTTTTTTTTAAATGAGTGATCGTTTCGCTTGATAAGACCTTTATTCATCGTCTCGAATCGTTCCCTTGAACAGTTTGCGGTTTGTACTGAAAGTGTCTTTTGGACCTTGAACCGTTTGGTTCCCACTGAAGTCCATTATATGAAGAAAAATTCTGGAATGTTTTCATCAAAAACCTTAATTCCTTTTCGACTGAAGAAAAAATGACATGGACATCTTGGATGACATGGGGGTGAGTAAATTATCAGCAAACGTTTTTTCAAAAGTGAACTCCTTTAATATAGAGGTGGTCCACTCTGAACTGCTTTACTAGCTTCTACCCTGGAAAGGCTTTCAGCCAGATGTTGGAATCAGGATGCAGGAATGTACTTCTGTTTCAGAAGAGGAGCATCTGTGAGGTCAAGAGCTGATGCTGGATGATGGGGTCTGGCTTATTCAGCTTTCCAAATTAATTCCAGAGGTGTTCAGTGGGATTCGTGCCACATTTTGTGAAGGCCAGTCAATTGACCTTTCTTCGCTCATAGTGACTTTGTAATACTGAAATACTAGAAAAATGTTGGTTTTAGAGGATGACACGGTTGTATTCTTGATTGTATTAACTTCTCAGTAATGGCCAACACCTGTTAACTGGAAATGTCCAGATGCTTGTGGTCATGTTGTGTATGTCAGAGCTTGGAAAAGTAGAGGTCGTGACTCTTTGAGCTCGGTTATCTCAGTCTCGTGATCTGCCTGATGCCTTTCCACAAATCTGCAGCAGCTTTAGCGATTTAGCACACGCTTTTGAATGTTGACTTGTCACCCAGATGCCCGACTGAGTCAAAATTCAGCACTTTTTGTGTTATTTTTGTTTGTGTGAAAAACCTCCCCGCAATACTGACTTTGAGCTTATCTTGTGAGGTTGTGTCTTTATCAAATGTCGTAAGTGCTATTCCTGAACCTATTGAGAGTACGTGCTTGAGGTGTACACTTGATCACTTTTCTTTGCAGCATAAAGTGTCCTTTTTTATCTTTCATTTAGTTGTATTTTTGCTGCATTTCTGATTTTTTTTCTTTTCATGTCCTCACATAATTAGGTTTTGGCCATTCACTGCAATCAGAAATGTCTGATTTTTTTAGGTGATGATTTCCTGAGTGTTTTCTCTCCATTGTTAGTGCAATCTACTAAGAGTCAAATGTACAGTGCTTTCCAAAAGTAACAATCCCACTAACAAGAAACAATTGCCATTCAATTGCCCTCCAACTGTGAATCATTTCAATAATTTCCACATTCACGGTAAAAAAACAAAACAATTTAGAATCATCATTTAGATTTCCCACAGACAAAATGAACAATGCGCATTACATTTGTGTTATGAGAATTTAAAGCAAATTTCATAGATGAGGAGAATATCCCAATAAAACATGCTATTACAATAAGCGTTTAATTTTTACCATGATGTGGTTGCATGCTGATCTAAGCCAAGGTCTATTTTGCTTTTTTCATACAATTTAGGGATTTTTTTGCAAATGTTTTATCATCTGATGGGTAAAAATCATTTACACTGTGAAAACGTCAACCCAATAAAATGGAAAACTTTACATTTGAATTTCCGCCTTGAGTTTTTAAGTAAAATCAAAGTGGTGCCAAAGTTACAACCGGTAGTGAAAAGTACATTACACTTTGAATTTAATTAATGATAAAGAAAGCCACATCTAAATCAACTCTATAAAAAAAAAAAAAAATGAATGGTGTTGTAAACAAACGCATTAAAGAAATGTCATAACCGTGACCTAGCAGCAAAACGGGAAAAGATAGCTGAATTTAAAAGCAAATCTAACACTTATAACTAAAATTAAACCCATCAAGCTTACTGTGAGGTCAGGTCGTGATAGCATCCTGCTGTGAGGCTGCTTTTCCAAAGCAAGGACTTGGCATCTTGTCAAAAAAAAAAAAAAAAAGAAGAGATTTATCTAGAATATCTTTTAGCTTGAATTATCAGACACCAGGCCGTTTTAACAATGGAGTAGTCTAAGAGGTGAATTTCCTACAATGGCCCCGTCAAAACCCCGATGTCAGTTCAATTGTGCGTCTCTGGTGCTATTTGAAAATCACCGACTTACCTGCAATATCAATCTGTCTGTGGAAAATGGGACAAAATTACACCTCAATACTGCTGCGAAAAGCGTTACATGCCACAAAAGACTTCTATAAAGCTATCATTGCTTCAATGATATAGCTCTATATCCTCACATATGTAGATGAATACTCAGTTTTTCTTTTTATTTAAGATGTAACTAAATGATTAAGGGTCTGAAAACCTTTGCAAAGCACTGAATCATCTTGTGTTGTGATCTTGCGTGTTTTATGAACCTTTGCCTTGAAGGTGTTTCACAGTATTGGTCTGTAATAATTAATCTTGTTATCTGTGTTGTTAACTATGTTGTGGTGTGTAGCCTACAAACGATCCAAATGGATTCAAACTGTTTGGGTGTTAGTATTCCTTCCTCTGTATTATGATATTTATTTAGTTTATTTACAGGTCAGTCTACTGTATTTTGGTGTTTAAGTATCAGCAGTGCACAATCATCTGATTCTTCATGTTCATTTATGAGGAGGACAGATGAAGTTGGGTGTAATTCGTTTGTCTTGACATTTCCCGGTCATTCCTGCTGTCGGAGAATGTGTGAATATCATCATTGCATTGGAGCGGATTGTTTTTTGTGGACTTTTACTTTAATTGTTTAATCTTGATTGGAAAAGAGCCACGTAAAGACTGTTTAAAATTTACAATGACAATATATATATATATATATATATATATATATATATATATATATATATATATATATATATATATATGGCGTTTTTTTTAATGTTTTTGAAAAAAAGTCTAATGCTCACCAATGCTCCATTTATGTGATAAAAATACAGTAAAAATTGTAATACTGTGGACAATGATTACAATTTTAAATCACCTTTTCATATATTAATATTTTAGTATTAATTTATTCCTGTGATGGCAAAGCAGAATTTTCAAGAATATTTTTGATTTGCTTCTCAATTATTCATAATGATTCTTCTTATTATTCATGTTTTTGCTGCATAATATGGAATGAGGCAATCATGATACTTTTTTGACGAAAAGTGAACAGCATTTATTTGAAATATACATCTTTTTTTTACTTTATAACATTATAAATATCTTTCCTGCACTGTAAAAAAATATTTTCAAGATTTGTTATCACAACATATTTTCTTTTGTCAAATTAATTTTATAATAATTTATTTAGTTGAGATAACTTATTGTTTTGAGTTTCTGATGATTAAATTAATCTCCTTCATTGTATTTACTCACTTTTTCCAGTTCAATCAACTTAAAATTTTAAGGCAACCCTAAGGCAACTTACTTTTTTTAAGTTAAACCAACAATATTTTTTTACAGTGTAGTAATCACAACATTTTTTCTTTTGTCAAATCAACTTAAATCATTCTCCTTCATTGTATTAACTCACTTTTTCCAGTTCAATGAACTTAAAATTTTAAGGCAACCAGGTTACTTAC